ACATATATTTCAGGATGATATTTTAATTTTTTTTTCTATATCATCAAAATCGCTATCGTTTTGTAGATATGAATGTCCTGGCTCAGCAAAATTATGAACTACTTTCTTTGGGTTTAAATTAGGGCACTGCACTATGAACATCCATAAGGCTGCAATATTAATATTGCGGTTTTGGCCGCCTGATGAGTCGGGCCAAGCAATCAATATGTCCTTATGATCCTCCTTATGGGAACCTCGTGGGGCAGTGCACTCATCCCAAGTGTTCATCACGTCTGAACACTTTTTCATAAAGCGATTGTCTTGGAATTTTGTCGAAATTTTTCTCTCTTAAACTATCAATATACAGTCTCTAGATTAGTGATAAATTTAAACTACAATCCAAGTATTTTTTTGGTATTGAGTTCTACAGTAATGACTAACTATGGTAGGGAAACTTTGTATATGATTTTTGATTGAATCCATTGTGGATGGTGAAGTTTTGGTATGAGGCACTTTTCTTCCTCTAAGATCACTTAAATTTCCACTTTTTTTAAGCAAAACGCGATGTACTCTACTACTATTGATTTGTAATATTTCCATAAACATTTTTTGCATACTTTAATATCTTCGTTTTCATAAGGGATGTAAAATTTACGATTTTCTTTTTTTTTAATATCAGTGTTTTTACGACGTCTTATTATCGTTCTACATTTTACAGCACCACTTGTTATGCTTGTTTGAGTTTCCCATGACTGTGACTCGTTATAAAACGATTTAATAAAACTTTTTTTGCTGTGCTATAAGCTTATTTTGGCATTTTATTTTGCAATTGCAAGATTAGTCATTAAAAAATTTAGAGTGTATGACAGTACCTGAAGTATTGATCTATTCTTTACCAGCTGCCCTTTTTTGCTTGCGAATATTTTTTCCACTTCATAGGATTAGATTTTCTTTTCTTTTTTTGAGGCTCTTCCTGATCTCGGGTATTTTTTTCATTTGTAAAACACAAAATTATTAATATTTTATATGCGTAAATATTTTACAGGTAACATTACTCTTTTATGTTATAATACATAAAAAATACTTTCCAACACACATTAACTATGCATAAGACAGATAGTTAGCATTTTCTTTTGCCAAAGTGAACTATGTGATCTTAATTTTTTTTACAATTCCAATACAAAAATGATGGGATAATATAGATAGGTAAAAACCTTGTTCGTACGTTGGTACAACTGCTATTATTTTACTAGCGCTCCCAGCAGACACTGAGAGAGATACATTTCCACATGGTTCACTTTGGCAAAAGAAACATTCCAAAACATAACCATACGTTTATAATGAAGTTCTATGTTAATAAATATTATTATCTTACCTGATTGTGTAATATACCAATCAGAACTTGGATCATAATCATCTGAAGACCCACTACTAAAATCAGCGAGTTCATCTTCACTAGAATTTCTGTCAACAATGATATGACAATGTGATCTACGTGCACGGGAAGTCATCTTGGACTGCATGATGGTTCACTGGATATGACAACCAGTACTACTACCCTTGTGCTAAATAGAATTTAATACTTTCCAGCTGATGTTTTATTCTAATCACATAGTTCATTTTGGCATACGTTTAGAACAAAAAATTGCCTCATAATGATAATAAAAAAGTAAAAACGAAGAAAATGTACATAGTTCACTATGGCATAAGACCATTCAATTATTTCACATTTTTGCGTATTACTGATAATCGAGACTGAAAGAAAGAAAGAAAACCACTAGGACTACATCAGTGACTACATCAAGTGAGTTAGAATGAATCTACCACACCAGATTTTACCACACAATTAAGGATAATGCTTGAGTTTATACCACTAGCTTTTTTATACTTTTTTATACTTCAGTAAATTTTTAGTATACTGGTTCACTAAATAACTTGCACACCATGTTGGTACTGCTACAGATGGGTTTTACTGGGTTATGCGAATGACCTGGCAGTAGTAGTCAAAAAGTATTTTGCCAAGACAGTCTTAGAACTAACGCAAATCGCTCCTCTGAGAGAGGCAAAAAACTGCTGAAGGCCTAAGTGTTAACCCGCAAAATGCATTCACCGGTGCTAAGGGGTCTGGAGGTTTTTAAGGTTAATCCATACATTAAAATTGTCACACATACTAGCCCTTAGCAGATGCAGACGACTGTGTGGGAAGAAATGCGGACCAAATACAAAAATGAACCTTTAGCCATACACAAGGGTTATAAGGCCCATGCTGACTTACGATTCAGTGAAATGGTGAACCAAGACGCAAGTTTCAAGCGATTAGGTTGCTTAATGTCACACAAAGATTTGCTTGCTTGAGTGTCATGGGAACCATAAGAACCGCATCTAGATACGTGTTAGTGTTGCTATACTTACCACCGTTGTACATATTTAGACGGGGAGAGGCCACGTCAACAGTATACAGACCAATACAGAGTCAAGCTTTTATTAGCAGATAAAGGCGGAGCTCGTTCTGGGCATGCATGTAGACTGGATGGTTAAAGCGTAGGGCTTTGATAAACATTTTAATATCATAGTACTAAAGAAGAAAGACTAGGAAACAGATTCGTCAGTAATGCCAAACTCAAGTTGGTATACAGATGGCTTCAAAACCGATAAAGGACTAGTATATACATCACAAGACCAAGGACACAAATCCAGTTTGAGAATAATTATCTTAAGGCCAGACGTCTGTCTTTTACGGCATGCAAAAGATCGCCAGTGTTATTTATGCCTGTCCAGTTCTTTATGTTCCGTAGCCACGACATTTGTTTGCGAACTACTCCTCTCTTGCCTTCAATCTTCCCCTGGATGATTAGTTTAGGGATTGCGTATTTTTCCTCTCAGAATATGGCCGTGGTATCCAATTTTTCGTACCTTGATCAAATTGAGTAATTCTCTCTCACTGTGCTATATAGCTAATATATCGACAAGTGGAGAATGACCCAATCGGTTTTTACATCAAAGTCAATCTGCTTTAAAAGTCCTTTGTTCTGTTTGATTCAAGCTCTCTGTTCTGTTGAAGTATCCTTTCCCATGCTAAAAGTTGAAGTAGACTTACATTAGTCTAGGTTCCAGGCCACAAAGGCTACGTGGGCAATGAGAAGATGAATAAACTGTTCATAGAAAGCGCATATGCGCTATTAATTAACCCAGAGCCTTGCTTTGGGATCTCTAACCCACACACAATAACAGTTATTGATAAATGGTTTTAATAAAGTCTTTGGAACAGTGGAAAAATGTACCAGGACAAAGACAGGCTAATAAGCATTTGGTTCGTACGAATTTAAAGATAGAGGATACTTGTCTAGTTCTGTAAATCTAATAATGCACAACAAAACTTTATTAATAATGTTAAAACTGAACACATAAAATGAATTCATCTTAAATACTAAAATAAAAGAGGACCTCAGATATTTACTTATATATTTATTAGAGAGAAAAAGAGATAAAAAAAAGAGAAAGAAAGCGTTATTTTTACTTTATCTGTGCTGCTGATATTCGGTCTTCGATATATATCGAGAATCGACCGAAAGTCATTCACAAAAGTCACAAATCAATATCATGCTCAATCTTGAATTTTATTTTCACACGTGTCTCAAAGTGGTCGAGTTGTTTCTAGCATATTGTTAAAGATAATCGTTTCAAAGAAATCAATTAAAATGATATATCTATATCTTATCATATTTTCTAATCCTTTGCAAATGGCAACAAACCTTTGACTCAAAATATACCAATGCTTATTCAACAACTGTTTGTCGTGAAAAGATCCAGGGAAATCTGATAAATGTGTCGTAATGTATATAACCAACACCAGTACAACCCTGTCAAGACAATTAAAAGTTGCTGTAAGGGACTTACAGAACAGCAGCTTCGAACGTTACATTACAAATTTATCGTTAAATGGCAACACATTATTGAAAGCTACAAGAGTTAAAACGATCTCCAGCAGCAGCAACCTTTGTGCTAGTAGAAGTTAAAACTGAGGTAACTAGGTTAAACTCACATAAAGCTCCCTTTTACGATTTAATATATGTTGAGATACTAAAACCTTTGCTCTGTAAAACAAATATTCTTTTAACCATAATTTTCAGTCATATGTTGAACCTATCTTGGGTTTCTATTCTATGAAAATACGCTGAAAGTATTGTACAAAAAAGGGTGTGCATATGTGAAATTATTAATATAACTTCAGTGTATGGGAACTCTATTAAACAGGGCTGGTTCAAAATGATTAGAAGAGTTTACAAAATAATCTTACCAATATTCCATTTGCAATATTCATAGCGGTTGTTTCTCATACGGAGGAGCTGTTTTTAGCGGTTTTTACACACATGTCACGGTATTAACACTAAGATCGAAGAGACAGCAGAGAAGATTTGCGTCTGTTGTCTATACGATTCAAAATTAAAGAGGATTCGCGGTATTTTTGGTTAACTATCAGAGAGAGAGAGAGAGAGAGAGAGAGAGAGAGAGAGAGAGAGAGAGAGAAAGAGAGAGAGAGAAAGAGAAAGAGAGAGAGAGAGAGAGAAAGAGAGAGGGAGACTTCTTCTTTACTTTACAAATGTCGAGAGCAGAGAGTCTGTTACTAGCAGCAGTCAACAGTCGAGATAGTTTTTCTGTTTATTTTAAATCTGTATTTATGTCTAAAGGTGTGTGGTTCAAGTGGGAGTAGAAATTATTAGTAAGAGTTGGAATAGGGTAATGATTTTAAAGTGAAAAATTGAACAATTATCATGATTCCTAAACCAACAAAACCTTTTGATGAACAAAATTTCTATTGACTGTCTATTGCCCATACCCAACAAGGTTTTTGAATACTTATTATCAACGAGGATATACGAAAATGACTCAAATAGTGTTTTTCAAAGTCGGAATGCAGATCACAAAATAATTCGCGAAATAAATATTTTAGGCTTTAGATAATAAATCGATAAAATTGTACTTGATGTATTATTCTAATTTTTATTTTAATTTGTAGAGATATTGTTGTTCCAAAAACGGCAGCTGAACCAGATGAATCAAAAGACGATGAAGACGATGTATTTTATGACACGGAAGACGACCCAGAGAGCGACAGTGACGATTCAGGAGATTCTCTAGTGTAAGTTGACTTTAAACAGTTCTATTGTTGTTATACTATTTACTATACTCAACAGCAATAATTATTATAAATTATTTTGATTTTGAGTGGAACTTACAGTATACAAAATGCACCAAATTAAGTTACGTTGATAAAAAAACAGACATTTCCATTTACCCATTTAAGTAAAATGCTTTAAACGATATATATATATATATATATATATATATATATATATATATATATATATATATATATATATATATATATCACCCGAAGAGTGATGGGTTTTTCGGTTAAAAGATGGAGAAAAAAGACAAAAAAGGTGGCTACTTCATCTATTTCGCTTTCTGAGCAGAAAGCATTATTAGTTCATCCAAAAAGAACAATATTAAAAACCACACATCCATAGAAAAGTCATTATAAGTGTGTTACCTCAAAAAGACATATTATTAAATACATAAAGAAGCTTAAAATGTTAGACATTAAATAGTTATGTTGTATAAACATAATATTTAGTTTCAATTAATTGTTAAACAATTAATTGAAATTATTAAACACTAATATTAGACACTATAGTATTGAAACTTTAAATACGGTATTTAGTATTTAATATTTAGTTTTCTCCATATCAATTATATGTCCAGTACACCAGAAGGGAGACAAGCTCAGTTGTAGCAACTACATATTCACTAGTCAACTTCACACTATTTAACTACAACTACTTATTCGGTGTGGGATATAAGGAATTTACATGGGTCATAAACATTGGATCAGATTGGGTTGCTTCACAGGGCAAATCGTAGGAGAATACCAGACCAGATTCAGACCAGGACCGCTGAGAATTGACTAGTTATTGAACATAAAACAAATTATTAGCTAAAACTGGGAACACGATATGGATATTTAACAGATCATAGATTTTCTACAAGCTTATAATAGCGTATACAAACACTTAATATATTTCCTTACAAGAGATTTCAGTATAGCAAGAAAATTGGTAAAATTACGACCACTACGACTCCAAAACCAACTGACATATCCCTTTGTTTGAGCCCTTTGGGATAACCAAAGAGCTAAAATAAGGAGACGGATTTCCTTCGGTTCTGTTGTGTACACTCTTTCTGAAAAATGTTTGTACACTCAAAAAATATATTGTTTAACAAAACATTAAACAGATTGTGGTCTACACAGATGATGTGAATTTAAGGAGCCGAACTGTAGGAGATATCTAAGAACTGTATGTGAAACTTTATGAGTAAAATACAAAACCAATAGGTTTAACTGCCAGCATAGATAAAACTAAAGACCTAGTACAAACAAAAAAATATAGAGAACCAACCAAAATTTTATAATAAATGACGCAAATATTAAAGTCGCAAAATAGTTATTATACCTGGGTGTATAGATAACTAAAGACAACAGCGTAGAGGAGAAGATACGAAGAGAGATTACGCTAAAATATTTGAAGATATTCATAGAAAAGTAAAATTCAAAGTTCATAAAGCCGTCATATGGCACATATGACGCAGAAACATGGATCGTCACAGAAAAATCAATAAACCTTATTGATAGCAAGATATTATGAAGAATATTGGGCCCCATTAGCAACAATTCCCACTTTAGCAAATTATGCAAAAATACAAAGACTGCGTTGGTCAGGTCACCTTATAAGAATGCCTACTAACGAAACACTAGCAGAATGCTTAATGAAACAACGGTGAGGCTTTGGCCGACGGAAAAATCAATGAAGAGATGGTTAGACGAAGACAGCAGTGATGCTGTAGAGATGTTAGGGGTGGATAACTGGAGAAGAGTAGCCCAAGAACTGGAGAATGCTGGAGGAGACTAGGGCCTTATTTAGGCTGTAGCGCTATTATAGAGAGAAAAATTTAGTTTTCTCACAATCTCAAATATATCTTATATTTGATATATACTTAATTATATCTTAATAAAAACCCCCAAATTTTATACATCTCCCAGACATTTTTTTGGGACAGAGTGCGAAGTGCAGATATAAGTGATGTAAAAGGGCGTAAAAAGAAGAATCGAAGGACCACCAGCCTAGGCTGGAATGAAACACATCTTAAACACTAACTTTTAATACTAGGATTAAGTAGTAATTTCGAATAGCTCTCCAGTAACACTGTATATTATTACACACACATCAACACAGTCAACGAAAAGAAGAAGAGGCAGACCAAGAAGTAAGTGGCTACACCAAATATAAGAGTAAGGAAGGGAAAGAAGAAAAACCGTAGAGGGGAGGAAAGAACTGCCAAAGAATTGAAGAGAGTTGAAAAAATAAATAAATTATAAACAAGAATCACAGTCTGAAAGAGTATGGGGAGCGGGAAAAGAAGAGGGTACATCCTTTTTTTTTTGTATTTACATGATACATCCTCAATACATTTTCATTTTTATCCTATTCTAAAATAAAATCTTAACGTGTCGCTGAAGTAAATAATTAATGAACGAACATAATTATGCATTATCTTACTTTTGTGACCTATTAATTTTTTCGATTATCCCAGGATGCTCCCACTAGTAAAAATTGAAGGATACAGCTAAATTGTCCTCTAAGTGAAGGCAATTTAATCTTGAGTGGCAATTATGTTTACTTTTAAGTATTCACAAAATCACTTAAAATTGTTCTTAATTTTTAATAATAAATTATACTATTTTTATTCTGTTTTTGTAGATGCAAGCCTTGTCCAGTTGTAAAACCAATATTTTTGTGTGGTTCAGACAACACGACGTACAGTTCCTTATGTCGATTGGACTACCATAACTGTATCCACCATTCAAACATTAAAGTAGGATGTAAAGGATTCTGTCCCTGTTCAGGTAATATAAACAAATTACTTTATGTATATATTTAACGAACTAATAAATATAATTTAAAATTTAAAATTAATGGGAAAAAACCCCGTAATTGGCTGTATACCATCGTTAAAAAAAAAACACAGAAGTTAAAACACTTCAGACATATGTATTGTGGTATAAAAACAAACAAATATTTAAAACTTTATAAAAGTGTCGTCAACATTTAAATTCTTATGACTGGCCTTTTGGCTTTGCCAGTGCCATTAACTTAGGAAAAAAAAACATTTAAATTCTAGCAGAACGTTTTCAATTTAAACAGATTATAGTCAGTACCTTGTGTATTTGTTGCTAACATATATAGTATAAATAGTACATATATAGTAAAGTTGTCTATAAGACCTCCATGTATGGATTTACAGTATTCCAAATTTTACATTTAATAATGTTTTGACTCCAGGTCAAAAAAAAAAAAATTGTTTATTTTGAGTTCAAACTTAGTTTATTGAGCCAATAAAAAAGAATTATAACATATTTGTTACCAAAAGTACAATAATCCTTATATTACCTGTGTTAGATGGATTCAAAAGATTTAGTTGTCTTTTATCGGGATAGAGAGGAAAAGGATAAGAATACAAATATATTATATTACAAAGATTTACGTTTCTTTATTTTATATGAACGAATAAAACAATTTTTAAATTCTGTCGTTATCTTATCAATCAGCATACAAGAAAATAAATCAAATTATTATGATAATAAGGTTATAAAGCTACATACATTTATATTACGTGAAAAACCAATTTTACTTAAAATTTTCTTTACTTGAAAAAAGAAACCACAACTTTAAACTTTTGATTAGCCTAACAAAACCTCAGTTCTTAAATTTTAATGATAATGACCATGATGTCGAAACGATCCTTCACAGATATAAAATTCAATTGTACAAACACTTACAGTTTATTTTCTTCTTGAGTTGTATGTTGGAACATACCCAGAAAAGTCCAGTCTCCTCAAATATGTGATCTCCCCTCTTTGGCACCTTGGTTCCTTCTTTACGTCTCTGCAAACCTCCTTCATACTACACAAAAAACACCTGATTCACTTCTCCAAACTCCGCTACTTATTTATGACACCAGGACCTCCTTTTGTCAACTTGCTGCCGTAAGAATACTTTCAACATATACTTTATAAAATGCCCACGGTAGATACAAGGACCTCTTTTAATCCACTTGTTATCTCCTTCTTCAAACTATTCACTTCTTTTCGTTACGCCGGTATCCAAACTCACGAACCACACCCTATCTTGAGACAAACGACTGTTTCCTTTCGATGACCAAAATATGACTAACTTCTCCTCTCTCATGATCGACTCACCAAATTCCCATTTAAAAACGACCGTCCAATCAAAAAGCTTAAATTGTGTTTACCATGATTTTGGAAAAGCCTAATTTCGGTTTCAGAGAAAACTAAATAGCTTACTTTAAAATTGGTTTTTTTTCAATACATTATTTATACATATTTCAAAAGATTAAAATATGGTCATTTAATACTCGACTATACAAACAGTGAAAAGATTAACTTACAGGTAAAATGTCTTCTAATTCTAAACAAAGGTTTTTTGATAATTTTGTTTGAAACGGAAAAAGGTCAAACAAATTTCTATTCTTATCTACACTAAATCTTATCTTCAATTACTATATACAATTTGTTTATATTGATATCTTGAAATTTTATTTCGATGGATTTTTTTTTTATTTTTCTTTGGTTGGAAGAGAAAAAGTATGACAATATATATATATATATATATATATATATATATATATATACATATATATATATATATATATATATATATATATATATATATATATCCATTGTCATCGACCAAGAGTCAAAACATTATTAAATGTAAAATTTGGAATACTGTAAAGTGGAAGTCTTATAGACAACTTTACTGTTAGCAACAAATACATAAGGCACTGAGGATGATCTGTTCAGATTGAAAACGTTCTGCCAGAATTTAAATGTTGACGACACTTTTATAAAGTTTTAAATACTTGTTTGTTTTTATACCACAATACACATGTGTGAAGTCTTTTAACTTCTGTGTTTTTTTTTAAATATAATTTATTGATCACTCATATTAAAAAAAACAGTAATTTTTCCTACCATTTCCTTAAACAGGGCGTAAATTTGAGGATTAGTCATGTAAATGACAACTATCTGCAGATTTGTTTGATCTGCAATCATACCATTTTCTTAGATTCTTCCGCCAAGATATTCGTTTTCTTGCGACACTCCCTCACCCCTGTATTTTGGTTTAGATTATGTCATCGTTTAGCTACATATTCTACGATGCCACATTTTTCTTCACGCAATAAATGTCCGATGTATTGCAGTTTTCTTTTTTTATTGTCATTTATGGTATCCTGATCCTAGTTAAATACACTTCATCTAATTTATATACCGATGCACGTCATCGGCGTCATAGCCTGTGACGTCACATGATAGCAACACAAAATATTTAGGGTGTAGGTGTGTTCTTTTTTAGAATCACTTTACCGAGTACACTGGCATTACAGCCACTAGAAATATTTTATTATATACGCGTAGAAATAATATTTAAAAACTTCTATTAATGTTAACTTAAAGAAATACACAATAATATGTTTCATTTAATATGTATAAATGCATTATAAAGCGTTTTTATCAAGAACATTTGTTCGGAACACACTGTAACTGTATTTGAACGAAGGTAAAATTTTGGCATAAATTGGTAACACTTATTTGACAGTTCCGGTGTTGACACTTTTTGTACTTCATAATTTTGAATTTTAAAGTGAATATCTCTTGTTTTATATTTTTAACTATTTAATAAAATCGTTCTTCCACGTTCTTCTTTTGTTGGGTCTTATTTTACCTTTAAGTTTTTACCACATTTTTTAATCTTTTAATTATATTAACCTGAAAATACTTACTTTTAGGTTTTCACTATTCGTCTGATAAGACCGAAAACGGTTTGAAATTTTTAATCCTTTTGGATAATTTATTGGTATATAATAGACATATACCAATATACATAAGACATTTAAAAAAAATTAAATATGGTTTACAGCTAACCGCTGAGATTTTCATTGAATATTTATTGTAGATATTATTTAAGTTTTCCTTGAATGCCAGTTGATGAATCACTTATTTAGTTTTCTCTGCTTGGATCGTGAGCAGTGTATCTTTTTTTGCATTTATTCTGAGCCAGATATATTTTTTGCCAGTAGTAATGTGCCTATACTTTTCTTCATATCGGGCAACAGGAGAGGAAATGGTTATGCGAGCAATGGAAGAGGTCCGAATGCGGAAGGCGAGAATGTACTCAAGAAAGTAATGGGTACAGAAATGGCTACACACAGCATCAAGGACAGAACTCAGTGAAATGTGCAAGCCACAGGGATATACAGAATTTACTTGAAGTATGATGCTAATCATTGAAATACATTTTCAGAGTAACTTTGAAAGGGTACAGAAATGGCTACACACAGCATCGAGGACAGAACTCAGTGAAATGTGCAAGCCACAGGGATATACAGAATTTACTTGAAGTATGATGCTAATCATTGAAATACATTTTCAGAGTAACTTTGAAAGGGTACAGAAATGGCTACACACAGCATCGAGGACAGAACTCAGTGAAATGTGCCGAAATGTGAACTCAGTGCCGAAAATAACCAAAGACTTAACAGGACAGGAAATACAATTAGAAGAATACAATGAATACAGTAACTTATTAATGAATCGTATGCACAGAATAAGTAACGAGCTACTCATTCAAAACATAAAGTTAGGATGGATAGTGTCATAAATTGCATAAGAAACAAACTAGGGAATTTCCAAGTGTGCAGTATGATACCCAGACAGGAAATGAACACACAAATAAAGAAATTCTGGGAACTGGAAGAAGTAGAGCAGGAAAACAAACTCTCGGTAGAAGACCAAGAATGTAAAGAATACTATCAAGAGGCAGTTAAAAGAGAGAACGAAGGAAGATACGAAGTAAAAATACCATTTAGAGATAATATACGAAAATTAGGAGAAACGAAGCAATATTAATTCGTGAGGTTGATGCAATTAAAGAAAACATTCGCAAAAGGCTAGAAACGGATTACAGACATTTTATAAATGATTGGATACAGGTGACACATACCTCAGAAACAGAGGAGCATGGCAAGCCTATCCAGGTGAGATAGAGGATAGAATAGTAGGAATAGCACGAGATAAGTCATCAAATGGACGAAGATCAAGGAAAAGATGGTGCAACAATTTAAACAATTTAGGAGGCCAATATTAAAGAATTATTCTTCAACTACCTCTAATGTCTTCTTGGGTGCAGGCTTTACGAAATTCATTTCAGCGTTTATTTCTGATAGGGGCGGCAAAGTTGCTAGTTGAAATATCAGAATTTCATTAGCATTACTAAAGCATTTTCCACCAAAGTATGGGTATCTTTAATTAAAGAATTTTTAGTTGCAGTGTCTTCTTCATAATTAGTGACTTAGTTTGTAAGGGATGCAGTTTGTTCATTGTTAAGGTTTCCTTTAGTTTATATATGTGTAAGAGTCTTTATTGATTTTGAGGAAGATATAGGTGGGGGTTATAATAACCATTGAAGCAAAGCAACAATCAATGGAAACGAAAGAATTGATGAAGAAAAACTACGAAAAATAAATAGAGAAGTATTAAAAGTTATAAGGAAAGATTTAAGAAAATTTAAGAATGAAAAGGCACCGAACTATAGAAGAATAAAAGTTTGAAAGTCCTTAGAAGACGGCTAAACAATGAAAAATGTAAAATACACAAACTGAAGAACAAAGAAGGTGTGCCCATATTAAATAAAGAAGAACTACTACACATACTTGAAGACTTTTATCAAGAACTATACACAAGTCAAAGACAAGATCAAACGAACTTGGAAGCCGCTGCATCAAGTTAAATTAATCAACCAGGGTGTAGAGCTCATGCCAGAGATCACAAATAAAAATTTTGTTTAACCTTTGTCTATTAGATTGTTGCATACCGGAACCATGGAACAATGCAGTCACAATTTTACTACACAAGAAAGGAGACAAGGCGCACCTAGAAAATTATTGACCAGTCAGATTATTGAACCACATCTATAAAATGTTTAACCGAATAATTACGACAAGACTAGAAAACAAAAGTTTGATTTCCTTCAGTCCCGAGAACAATCTGCCTTCAGATCACTAGTACTTATCTTACGTACGTAGTCACAAAGCCTAAGCCATTATAACTGCTTTGAACAATAGTAGAATAGACTATCGGCTTACAAAGTTAGTACAAATATTGTACCAAAACGCCACAATGCGTGTAAAACTACATGATACCACCAGAGAAATTCATATAAAGAGAGGTGTGAGACAGGGCGACATTCTCCCACTTGAATTATTTATAACGGTCCTCGAATGCGCCTTTAAAATGCCAAAGTGGGAAAATAGAGGAATAAAAATAGACGGGAAAATGCTCAATCTGCATTTTGCCGACGATATAGTACTTATTACCGAAGATCTGCGTGAAGCACAACAAATAGCAATAGGTCTAAAAATGAACATCAGTACCTTATACTTTATACCTTACTCAGCGAACAGCTGACCATCCAAAATTAAGTGGTAGAATTAACAGAAAAGAAAAGTACATATATCTCAGTCATAAAATCAGAATAAGCAAGAATAATCAGACCTGTGAAATTCAACGACAAGTAACACTTGCTTGGCGGCGTGTGGTCCACTAAGAGACATCTTTATGAGCAACATCCCGATAGCTATGAAACGGAAGACATTTGACCAATGCGTTCTTCCTACTATGATATACGGAGCAGAAACTCTCGGTAAAGATCGATTCTCAGCGTGACAAAAAAGAGAAAATAAGGAACCAAAACCTAAGGAAAAGAACAGGTATCAATGATGTTGTCGAACGTATAGCCAAGCTGAAATGGAATTGGGTAGGTCACATAGTGAGAATAAAAGACTCGAGATGGACTAGAAAACTAATTGACTGGCGCCCAAGATAGACACAGCAAAAAATGACCGTCAACAGGCAATGGCAACAAGACGCGAAAAATGGGAGAGACCTATGTCCAGAAGTAGACAGAAGAGGTTGCATGATGATGATGAACGGTGAGGGTAGCTGCTGAGGGTTCTTACAATTATATGCGGTATGTTTTTGCTGTTTTCAATTAACGCATAATTGAAAATCTTGGTATAAGAAATTCGATAGGATTTTTTTGTCTCTGAAACTTTGACAAATACCAATAACGAAAAAGAAATATTTCTACGTTCTTTCAATATCTTAAATTAGGTATGGTATATCATTTTGAATTTTCCCTTGATAAATTTTAGTTTTATTTTTGTTAATAATTTTAATTACTTTTATACGTTTCAGATGATGACTATAAGAGAAAACAGAAGCAATCAGAAAAACTAAATACTTTCATGAACAAATATAAAGCAACATTAGATAAGACAGGTACTGGTGGATCGATTAATGGAGGAAAGCTTAATAAAAATCCTTCAAAATCCGAATTATATACGTACACTCCTCAGGACTTTAAGTATGACAACAAACATTACAAGTACATCAAATATACAAAGTATAACAAGGTAAAATAATATTTTTCCATTAATTTACAATTCTTTGTCTTAATATAATTCTTAAAACATTTAATAAATTTTTGGTTAGGTTATTTTTCTGAAAAAATATTGTTTTAAAGTATACTCTACATATTTCATTTAACCGTCCTTCTTTTTGCATTATTAACAAGACATTTCTTCGCAGAAATTGACTAACTTCGATACTTTAACATAATACACTTTTTTTTTGGTTAACTAATTTCATATTCAAACACATTATTATATGGTCACATATTAGTCACAGTTAAGTATTAGTAAAGTCGACTCCAGCTATATATCGACCGACGAATGGCAATCGTCAAATATAAATAACAATTAATATAGTTTTCGTCAAGATATAAGAAATTTTGCCTGACGCTGGTAGGATCACCCTACCGATTTAGTATTATAATAACAAACAACAGCCCACCAGGAGCGGATTCGCTAAAATTAACAAAAAAGTTCAAGTACATATAATATTTTAATAAGGTTGGAATAATAAATATCAAATTAAATATCATATCATATATTTAATACGTATATACAGATTTAACGAATTTAAAACGGATCATACAATTTAATATATGTCTGTTTGAACTGCATTTGAAATAGTGGACCAATATAAAACTTGGACAAAAATAAATCCATACCTGGGAATAGACATTGTATAAAATATCGTTCAACTATCTGTTTCGCAACAATGTTGTTTGCGTAACAATGTTGCCAATCGCCGTGTAATAATTCGATTTGCGGATCTTTTTGAGAGTTATATCTTCTTCGTATCTTTAAATAAATCGGATATTTGCCTATATTTTTCATTGTATTTACTAATCTACTATAACAGACTAATAACAAAAATAAACTTAATGGTTTGTAGTTATTTCATTTTTTCCTGTAAATTTTTTTTTGGTTAACACTTTATTTGAGAAACATCTAAGGAACGAGGTTGGCAACACCGCTTAAAGAAGGGCTTGTCTAAAGGTGGTTTGGCAGCATAATGAAATCGTAGATTTATGTGTAGCTTTCAATTTTTATGATTTCAGAATCCAGTAGCCCGCTGAAGTATTGGATTTTTATAATATAATTATTTGACAACCTTTTGTTGGCCAACCACCTACAGCGTAATTGAGCCGAAATACATAATATTTCGTATGTTCCGAATTTATTTCGTTCAATCCGTATATATCTATGTAGTTAATCGTATGTTATTATGTACAATGAAATAAGAGAAATGGACAAATTAAAGAAAGTAAGTAAAATAATGTTAATAACAGTAAAAGGTTAAAAGAGTGGTAGCAAAAATCAGAATTAAAAAAGATAACATAATAAAATTAGAAACAATAACATAAAAAAATAAAATTTGAAGTTTAGATGGAAAAAAATAATTACAAACTACAACTCTGTGTCACTATCGCTGTCATCTTCAGTAGAATCGTCATCTAATGTTACAATTATTGGTTTAATATGTGAGGTTAATGTTCTGTAATGATCTTCCATTTTTATTACATTTGAAACACAATTTATCCACTGTGTTGGGGAATTCTTTTTTATTTCTTCCACAACATGTGATACCGATTGGCTAATAAATTTCGGACAGCAGTCGTTTCGCCGTAAACTTCCCTTAAGGTGGCTCCAGATTAATTCAATAGGTGAAAAAGACAGCAAATATATTTGTGTTTCGAAACTATTTTATGGTTTAATTCAATAGGGTTGAAAACACAGTAATAAGGAGGTAATCGCAGTATAATATGACCATCGGGTTTGGCTAATTCGTCTAAAACAAACTGTTTCTCAAACCTTTTGCGTGAAGAACTTCCAACATTTATTTTTTTGTATATGTTTTATTATTTAACAAAGTACAAATCATTTTCATACAAAAAATCTGATATTTGTTTTTTCGTCGACCCTACACTGGGGATTTGTCTAATTTGTTCGCTGTGATATGTCGCGTTATCCATTACAATGACACTTTTTGGAAGCAAATTTGGTGTTTAGGATTAAACTTGAGAGGTCGCTGGTTAAATTATATCAGATAAATAATTATAACGAAAAATGAAATATTGGTTGATACATAAAATTGGTGAAAATAGCAACTATAAATTGTAAATAAATTACAGAATTAACTGGTTTACTCATTATCAATGTTTTGTACAAAGAATTATAAGGCTTACCCTTTGGTTCTACTGATGAGTTCGTACCAGGCTGAAGAGTTGGTCGGTGGTACCGACGCTAGCGTCGCCGTCCCCCGAGGCTCAGCACGAGAACCGTCCGGAACTAGATGCGTGTCGATCGATCGTTGTCTGACGAAGAAGTGATTTTGAGATCGTTTCTAGGGCACAAACCAGCCTCTAACTGTGGGGTGGTCAACAGCTCGTAGGCCGGGCATGCCATAAATCAACCATTTGTTTCAATCTTTCTGACATAGAATACAAAGAAAAAAGCCCAATTCTCCGTATTCACAACATCATAAATGAGATATCCAGTTTAAGTTTTATGGGACAACAGGAAACAATATATTTCAAAAAGGTCTTTTAAAATACAGCACCAAATTAGATCACATTACAGTACCGTAACAGAAAAAATATTAACTGTAAAATTATGAAATGAATTCGCACATACTTTCCCAAACATTTGGCAACACTTTCTTTTCAAACCATTCCTTAAACAAGTTACTCATCATATTTTCATGGTAATCCGGCTTTGAATCTTTAATGTTTTTGGCCGATAGTAAAAAACTATCTCCTCCAAGCCAGCCATTTTTGGATCCAATGTTCAGAATAATTATTCGCTGACCTCTATTAATTGGTCATTGGATAATTGGAATATCGGTCTTCCTTTATCTTTAAATTTAGATATAGCATCCAAGTGTTCGTTTTTTCAGTTAATAAGTCGAGGAGAATTCATTACTGATGCTCGCTTATTAATTTTCTTGTATCGAAACCTATGTAATTCAAAAACCATGATAAAATTAAAGGAGAATACGTAATAGAATAATCTTTAACAAGTTGATCGTAGATCATACTAAGCGTTGGAACTAGGTTCTTTGAATAGAAATTATAAACTGCTCTTCTAATTACCTCAGCGTCTTTTTCATTTACTGCTTTATATGTAAAAAAGTCATTCCGCTTTTTATAAGGTTGAATTATATCTGCAACAATTTACCACACTGTTGTATATGGCATCCTTGTCAATCGAGATATTGCCTTAATGAGAAATTTAACGTCTTTTGGATTTGGATTTTCTTCTTTTACTGTTTGATAAACATTCCTAATAATTGCTTTGGCATCATCAGATAAATTTAAACGTGTTTTACACTTAGCACAAGCTTCACCGATTCCTGACATTTTACTTGAATAGTCGTGTGCTATCCACCGATCTAGATGCAAGAAAATAACTGCCTGAATGTGGAAACGTCAAAATTAAATATGTTTGCCCCCTTTCATAATGTTTCATAAATTATGTTTTCTAAATAAATAAGTGATACCTAATTGTACCTAAATACCTATTAGCACGAGAACTATAATGTGTAAAGCTATAGAATAATAATAAGAGGTATACTTTATCTTTAACTAATATACTTGCTAATGATTTTTTAATTTTCTTTTATTTAAAGATAGAAAGCTAAAGATCATTATCGAAAGTCCATTTAAACTTCATAAAATTCAAGTAAGGAGCCCGTTGAACATGAAAATTGTACCTATGTGATCGTTAATAATAATTGATTCCAAACAACTTAATTTCAGATGAGTAAATCAGATAAGTAAGCAAAGATGACTAATTCGTGAATAGCAACATTTTTTTTAATACGAAGCATTGTGTAGAAATTTTAATTTTACAATTTATTTGCACTGATAAATAACAAGTCAGTTCTGTAACTAATAAGTAAGTAAGCTGTTCCAAAACTATTGCTACCCGTCGCAAAGACAATTGAGGGATTAGTAACATCAATAGGTGTTGTTCATTATTATAATACTGCAGTCGACTAAGTCATCCCACCAGACTCAGGCCAAATTTAGCCTCTTAATGTCATTAGTCCATATTGTTATCTGATAATCTTCCGAAATTAGTTTATCCTCATTTGGTATTTATTCCAAAAATTTTTTGTTCCTACTATTGTCTTTCACTCTCCAATATGCCCTGCGGATCTCAAAAAAAAGTTTGCACCGAAAATGTTAACTTTTAATGACCTCATTATTTTAGGACAATAATATTTTATACGCAGAAGACAAGGAACGACTCCGAGGTTACAATGAAATTTTGGATAACAAAATCTATAGTGGTCCTATACTTGGAACCCCAATTTATCCCCCCAAACAGTGTTCACCATCGGCATTGCAGGCTATGGGAAACAGACTGTTGGACTGGTTTTCCGTTGTTATGTCTGATGCAACGAAAAGACGAAGAGCAAAAGTTAAATCCAAAGGTAAGGAAAATATTTAGGCATACATATAAAAATAATAAAAGTATTGCTTTATCTCGAATTTTTATTAGGGTTGGGAGCGTGATCGGTTTCCATCTCTGGATTTCTTTTACAGCTATATCATCTGACTTTTTTAAATGATTAAATCAGTTTAGCGTTTTTTTGCACTAGCAAAACACTAGCTCGTGTTTTTTTTTTTAAATTTCTACGTACTATCGATACAATGAGTTGTTCCAAATATATTTCTTAGTATTTTGAGCCCAAAAGTTCTGAGTTGATTTTCATCCGTTCGTGAGTCTACGTTTCTTATTTATATGAGCACTAACATATTAATTGTTTTGTAGATGATTAGCTTGGATCTTTGTATGTATAAATCATTTTATTGACATTAAATTAAATTTCCATATCCTTTAATATTCTGTTTAGTATAAAATAACCCAAGAGTTTTATTGTGTCTTTGTAGAGAATTCAAAAGGTCATCTTCTTCTTCTATTGCGGACTTTACTAGTGAAGGTTGGCTATATACATTGCAAATTCTCTATCTATTTTCTTAAAAGCGAGTGTTTGTTTAACGCGGTCCAGTCCCAAATGTTTTTCAGTCAGGATATTTATCGTCTGCCAGGACCCCTGTTTCCTTCGATTTTACCCTTCATAATTAGCTGCATTAACTACCACTATCACTGCCATAAGGGCACCTTTTGTACCTAAATCTGACAAACCTGGACAAGGAAGAACTAGGTCACTGGGACCGATAAGTATGATGTCAATTTATACTGACGAATCTAGAAACACTGCTCATATACATAATTCATAGGCACATTCGCAATTTGTTCGCTTTATCGCCTCTAATACCTCGTCTTCTGTTATGTCTGGCCGTTGTCGATCTTTTCCTGCTCTAGTACTATCTCAGTCCTGCCATCTTTTAAGCCTTTCACCGACGTCTATAATTATTTTGCCGTTTTTATCCAGCAGTATGTTTGATTTTTTCTTAATATTAGTGCCTGTTATTTCCCTAATTTTTTTATAAAGGTTTAAGTTATCATGTTTCTCTACCAACTATTCAATCTCTTCGCATCTGTCACTATACAATTTTTCCTTTGCATCTCTGATCTTTTTACTCATTTCTGTGTGTATAATATTACAGGTAGATGTTTTTTTCTTTGGTTTTATAAGATCTCCTTGCTTCCATGAGATCGAGAATCTCATCGGTCATCCATTCTTTTTTGTTCTTGATCAGCTTAGGTGTTAGTGTTGTCTCACATGTGCGTATAAGAGCATCTTTTAACATTTGCCATTTCCTTTTCGTATCTTCAGTAGGAATAATTTCTATTTTGGTGAACTCTTCTTTAATCTTTTGTGTGACTTGCTCTTTTGTTGATGGATCTCTCAAACGGGATACTTGTATCCTCTCTACTTTAGTTTTAACCACAAGCTTTTTAGATTAATTCTAAACCTTCCTACAACTGGGTTGTGATCTGATCTCCCATCAGCTCCGGGGTGTGATTTTACTGATTTTATGGAATTTCGGTAACGTTTGCAGATGAGAAGGTAGTCAATTTGGTTTCAAATGACGTTATGTCATCATAGTAAGTATTCGCGACAATACAATCGGTCTCTTGGCAGAATTGAGCCAATCTGTCTCCTCTCTCGTTACGGGTGTCCAGTCCAAAGTTTCCAATAAAATCACCTTGACTTCTTCTACCGCTTTTTTCATTTAGATGTCCCATGGCTATTGTAACGTCTCTAGACTTGGTTACTTCTAAAGCTTGTTGTAATTCATTATAAAACTGTTCGGGCTCTTCATTAGGGATGGTGTATTAGTAGTTAAACAATATGCGTATAGAGCAGGATTCTCTACGGAAAAGACCCTGCATCATCTCGTACCTAAAGAGGGTTGATTACTTTCTGGAAAACCAAGAAGTGATGCTGAGTGCTATCCTCAAAATAAGCAAGGTGCAACGACTTGCTTGACTTTTTTTTTTTCTAAGAGGGTGGAAATTTCTAAAAAACTGTACCAGGTTAACCTATCTCTAGGGATGGCTGGCGTGTGTTGAATTCACAGTAAAGGAGTACATCCGAGCCCATTTACCCGTAGAAGAAGAAGATTTTGCAAACAGATGCCTTCCTGTTATTCTGCCTACCAACTAAAACCACCCTCTCCTACTAGTGCGCAGTTTACTGTCGCACGTATCGTACTTCGAAAGTGGGATGGCCGCTGTAAGGATAATGACACTTTCGGAGCACTACCTTCTCCTATCTACATATTATATCTGTCGTTGTCCGGCTTGTGTTTCTCTTCTTGTTCTTTCTTTTTAATTATTACTGTTCGAATGTAATAATGTACAATATTTCATCCCTCCTTACTTCCGGTCATCTTCACAATCATCTCTCTCACACAGCGTTCATAACTATTTTTCCACAAATTCTGTTTCTCTCCACTCCCCATCTATTACACTACACCATTGTATGAATAACAGTGTCAGAATATTTACAGTACAGACATTGATCTGTATCTTTGTTTCTGATTCTATAAAGATATGTCATAAAACACCCACGTCCTCTGAGCACTTGTGACAGGAAGTAATCCAGTCGCCTGTGACTACGGTCGACCCAGTTCCATAGGCTCGGAATCAGCATCTTGGTCCACTGAGCAACATCTTCTGTGTTGTTCCACCCTTCTTGCCATATTTCTATTGATCTTTCCCTTTCTTCCTTTTTATGGCTGCTGTCAAATATTCTCATTTCTCATAGAGATGTCTCCTTTCTACTGCTAACACATGCAGAGGAACACAACCCGTGATAGTCTACAAGGCCGCCGCAGATACAGTCCTGTAGGCACATGCTACTCGCAACAGACTTGTTCTGCCTACTCCTATCATGAGCCCTTTGTAGATCGGTATCTCCATCGCCGCATCCGACTCTGGACATTCCGGATGTGCAAACCGTGTTTGTAGTTCTTGCTCCGGCTATCAAGAATCCGATGTATCGGTATTCCGTTCCGGTACAATCTTGAAAGACTGACCAATCTTTTTTTTGCTACTACTCCCTGTGTAGCCATGGTATCATCGATGTACGTACCTGTACCTCTCCTCACAAATGTGAGACCCCCACTCCGCCGCTTTTGCGTTGAAATCTCCTAGCACCACGCATTCTCCCATACTCATCACCTCCATGATCTTGTCCATCTTCCTCTCATAATCACCCATCGTTATATTGGGAGAGAGATAGCAACACACCAGCTGCACTTCCTCCATCCGGACAATCATTACCCGTGATTTGGAATTACAGAATCCGGACTTGCTTGGCTTGGAATTTCAGAAGCTATGAGGGGCACACCAATAAGAGCTATGGAGGCCCTACTGGACCGCTCTTCCTCCAAATATCGTTTAAGGGAGAGTCGACATTGAGACATTATAGACTCAGGTATAGACTCAATGATGTCTTAGGTATAGAGAAAACTTAAGTATTAATAATATAATCAAATACCGGGATCAAAAGGATACCGTATGACTGATAACTTCTGATAATGTGCTACCCGTATATAGGCCTAAACTACTTTTACAGGTGGACGTCTGTCTACGGGAGAGAGAGTGCAAAGGAACTTACTTAGATCATTATTTTTTTCCATATGGATAAGAAAATTACTTATGATTCCATAAGTAAATGTTGGATTATTTACTAACTAAATCATATGTCAACAGAAATTCAAACTAATATCTATTTAAAATATACGATTATTTATTATTTTTAGCTCACTTCCCCGCAACGTGCAAAGGCGAAGTGAGATGGATGTTCCAGCACTTGGATGTTGACGGCGATGCTAAGCTTTCTCTACAAGAACTTTACGATTTAGAACACGATCAAAGCGAAGTTTGTCTGAAACCCTTCCTACAGCAATGCGACATCGACAGAGACGTCGTGGTTACTCCTTCGGAATGGTGTAGATGTTTCCAGCGAACAGAAAGGCCTTGCGCTGCGGTCAAACGCAAGATTACTGTTGACATGCTAGGTAGGTATATGTATTTTAAATATTTCTTTAGTGTTTATTATATATATAGCGAAAGTTAATATTTTAAAGTACAAACTATGAAATTTTTTTATTTAATAATACCTTCAGTTTCCCTTGGTAACATTTTTCTGGACTTAGGGCAATGTTAAGAGCGTTTATTTACAGCATAAAAAATCATAAATCGTAAGTTCGACTGCGGTGGGAATATGAATTTTTATTTAAAATATGTCATCTTTGTCGGATCGGTACTTAAATGACGGATAAGTGTTCGCTGGAATAGAATAAGCGACATGTTATAAAACCATTAATGTCGGATGGCAATGGTACAATACTACCTCTTGAGTTTTCAAATTGTGAGATCTTTTTTTGTTTTAAGAGATAGGGATTTGAACTTCTGTGATATCTCTACATTTATCCAGTATATTGTGTGAGCCAAATGTAACAAAAAAATCTTTATTTAGTTTTCAGAAGGAGGCTTGCTTTTGTACCTTGTACATTTTTTTAATAAATGTAAAAAAACAATTTGTATAAGCATGTTGTATATTTTGTTAATGATAAAAAGGTTGCTGGTGTGAGCACATATTCATGAATGTTGGGGACTAGGGTCTTATAATCATAATCCGTGTTAGGTTGTAGAGTTTTATTAAATAAAAGATAAGGTGATAGGTTTCGCTGTTAGCAAGTTATTCAGCATTATCAGGCCATCAAGAAACTAAAGGCTGAAATAGACGATATATGTAAGCCAATATGTATACAAAGAAAAAACCAAAGTGAAACAATAATCCACTACTAAGACTATAATTATTTGGCAGTTAATTGTAATTCAATTAGAATAAACAACAAAGAAATATTAGGTTTTGAAACTGTTCTCTTGCGGCATGTACTAGGTTAAATACTATGTTTATATGGGAATAAGCCGCAACTGATTGCTATTGGCATGGGATAAGCCACTGAATGAAGAAAAATGTGTAGCAAATCCATCAGCAGAATGAACTAAAAGATTCTAATTGACCAATAAGAAAGCCACGTGGTCGATAAACCCGGCCCATTAGACAGAGATGCAGGAACTGTTTTACGTCAGTTTTCTGTTGTACTAAGGGAACGCAACTGTATTGCAGCAGTCAGTCTATCTTGTACTATTTATCTACAGTTTTTCAACTAACCTATGGTTGTGAAACCTGGGTAATGACGAAAAAAGATGAAGCCCAACTCAGGACATTCGAGAGAAAGATACTAAGAAAAGTATACGGCCCGGTGCAAGCAGAAGACGGCACATGAAGAATCAGGAGAAACAACGAGGTTTATGAACTGAATGAAGGGTATGACATTGTAAGATTTGTGAAACGTTAAAGACTGTCATGGCTGGGACATGCTCAGTGACAAAAAGACACGAAAAATACGAAGAAGATGTTACAGTGAAAGCCGATAGGAAGGTGGAAAAAGGAAGGCCCAGGACGAGATGGTAGGATGACGTGGAAGATGACCGGAAAACCATAAATATAAGATAATGGAGGATAAGGGTCCAAGAGAGATCTGAATGGAAGATCATAGCCAGACGGGCAAAAACCCATCCAGGATTATGATGCCAAAAGATGAAGACGGTTTTTCAACAAAATTATTTAATAATCTTTTTTTTGAGAACTATTTCCAGAGTGGAAATCTTCTTCTTCTTATTATGTAGACATGACTCTATCTGGTTTTCAATGTGCCTCCAGTAAGTTGTCATTCCATCGTCTTCTTAGTCTTCCTACTGATGGTCTTCCTATTGGGGAATCGTTTCTTGCTTGTTATCCGGCTTATATAATCTTTCCATCTACTCTTCTATTTCTTACCCAGTGCTTGATGTTGTCCGCCTTGCATCTACATCGTATATTTATACTTCTAGCACTGTTCCGTAGATTGAAAGTCAAAACGTCAAATTTTTTAGGTAAAATTTAAATGCCATTACAATCAACACTTATTCTCATATAAACATCGTATTTAATAAAGAAATAGAAAGAAAAAAAATTACTGAGAGAAAAAAAGCGATATTGTATATCTCATTGGCATATGAAATAGAAACATTACAAAGAAAAGATTATTTAATATATATGAAAAACAAAAAGCAGTTTATAGTATGGACCTGATAATTGGAGACTAATAGAGAAGTATAAAAAAGATTAGCAGCTGTTGAAATAGATTTATTCAGAAGATCACTTAGAATTTCAAGATAATATAGTTAGAAATCACTCCAGTAATTGTGGATATTTAAGGAAGCATTATCGATGATATCGAAAAAAAACAGTTGGCAGTTGACATGGTATGGACTAGTTCAGAAATCTATGTAAGAAATTAGAATCCTTAAGCAAATAATCAACTGGCAACCAACAGAACGTCTGAAAAGAGAAAAGCTAAAGACCAACTGGAGAAAAAATGGATTCAATATTTGAGAAGACAGCAAAAATATGAGTCGGTCAACGTTGGCAGACGTTCTGAATTGGCATGCATATACAGGGTGCGGCATTGGTGCGAGAAAGTATATTTACTCATTTGTCGAAAAAAAAAAATAGGTAAAAGTTTCAGCATAGATAGGACCATACTATAAAAATATTTTCAAATATAGTTTGAAATATACAGGGTCAACTATATTAACAGGATGAAACAAATTTACCTTTTTTTAATACCCCGTATATTTTTTACACTTTTGGACTCTTTACGATGTTCTCGTTTTTCTAACATCAGGTTTGGCAGTGTTATACGGGATAGTTTAAAAGGTAATTACAATTTCATTAATTTCGTAGCAAAATTAACACCCTGTAGAATTGTAGAGATCTGATGTCAAAAAATATATTTGTATCCAAAAGATTTTTAGTATAGTCTACTTTTGTCGAAAATTATTAATATAGCGAAATATGTAATTTCTGTATACGGGATTGGTCGAAACTTGAATGCGTATTTTCTGAGTTTTCTTAAATGGAACACCCTGTATCGAAGTATTGTAATTAAATGTTATTTTATGATGCTTTATGACTTATTAAGCATGTTGTATACATAACTGCTTTAATTTATAAATTATTCGTGATTTTTTTAGCCAAAAATTAATTGCAACAAAAATTAGGTGAAATTTTATTAGATTGGTCAAGAAAAATAGATAATAAGTGATCTAGACTGATCCTTAATTTGTTAATATTTAATAGTATATTGAAATATCTAAGTAGTTAAACGTTAAGTGACGTTTAATATAAAAATAAAATTAAATGTAGAACAAAAGATTTACTTAACAAAAATAACAAAAAAAAAATTGTTAAATTTATAATAAATGTTCAAAATGGCCTCCCTTTTGAACAACACATAAGTTATTTAAAAACTAACACTAGTTAAAATATTTGTTTAATCTCATATATTTAATTCTAATTCTCTATTTATATATTCTTTAGTTATATTTTATACACCTTTATTTTATTCCGCCCCAGAAAATAAAATTTAGTTTGTTTAACTTTAAGGATAATGGAGGCCTCTTTCTCGCCCTTTTTCTCCCATATCCATATTCTCTTATGTATGTTTAACAATTATATGTTCGAAAAATTTCCGCTGTTAGTACAATAACAATTACAAACCTAACACTAAGATTAATACTATTACAAAAATTGATATTAAACTCACAAGGTTTCCGGGTTGGACCGCCTTGAGTATTACTGCTACGAGCTTTCGACATCCTCTCTGATGTCTTCCTCAAGACTTCTGGGATCTGTAGCCGTACTGCAGTAGTGCAGTGTATAAAAATATACAGGGTGTTCCAATAAACAAAAAGGTAAGGTTTGTTCCATCCCGTCAATAAGGGTGAACTTGTATATTTGAAAATATTTGTAGAGTATGGTCTTATCTGGGAAAATATTTTTAGAATATGGTAGAAATTCTTGAACTCATGGAAGAACGAAGAAAACATAAAGCAAAAGACCTGAATAAATACAAAGAAATTCAGAGAAACATCAGAATGAAAATTCGAGAGGCAAAAGAGAGGTGGCTCTCCGACAGATGCAAGGAAATAGAAGATCTGGATAAAAAGTACGATAGCTTTAATTTACACAAAAAAATCAAAGAAATCAGAGGTTCTAGGTTCTAGATGAGGTGCCCATCGAATTATGAAAACTTATCGATGAAGATGTTATTAATGTAATGGTTGAACTCTTTAATCTAATATATCAGACTGCCACAATCCCCAGACAATGGCTGCAATCAACCTTTGTAGCAATTCCCAAAAAACCAAGTTCAACAACTTGCTCAGATCACATAACAATAGCTTTAATGAGTCACACACTTAAAACATTTTTGAAAATAATTCACAGCAGAATAGTTAAAACTCTTGAATATGAGATTAGTGACACACAATTTGGCTTTAGAAATGGTATGAGTACAAGAGATGCTTTGTTCGGCTTGAATGTGCTGGCTCAGAGATGCATGGACATGAATCAGGATATGTACTTATGTTTTGTAGACTTTGAAAAGGCATTTGATAAAGTTCAACATAAAAAGCTTGTAGATATATTAAAAAGCAAAAATATTGACAGTCGTGATCTGAAAAAAAAATATATCTAATTTATATTGGAATCAAACTGCCAAGGTAAGAGTTGACAACCAGTACACCGAAAATATCAAAATACAGAGAGGAGTCCGCCAGGGTTGCGTGCTGTCCCCACCACTTTTCAATGTCTACAGTGAAGCGGTATTTCAAGAAGCGCTCTCAGACTCAATAGAAGGTATATCTATCAATTGAGAAGTTTTGAATAACTTACGTTTTGCAGACGATGCAGTAATAATTACGGATAACAACAATGATTTACAGAACGTAATGCAACGCCTTAATGAACGCTGCCTGTCATGAGTACGGACTGAAGATAAATTTAAAGAAAACTAAATGCACGAGCATGACTAAATCTGCACATGCAAATATCCAATTGACTATTGAAGATACTGCAATTGAGAGTGTTAATAACTATAAATACTTAGGAACATGGATAACATCAGATGTAGACCAAACCAAAGAAATTAAGACACGTATTGAAATAGCACGTACATCATTTATTAAACTTAAAAAGTTTCTTTGTTGTCGGGATATAAGGTTAGAACTACGCCTGAGAATGCTTCGATGTTACGTGTTATATGTTATATATGTTATATGTTATATGTTACGTGTTATGGTTTGGAAGTTTGGACACTAAAATAAGTTCATCTGAATAAGTTGGCCGCCTTTGAATTTTGGTGTTACAGAAGAATCCTACGAATATCATGGATTCAAAGAATGCCAAACATGGAAGTAACTAGAAGAATATAAAATGAGGCGGAAATAATATTAACTATTAAAAGACGAAAACTTGAGTACTTGAGACATGTGATGAGAGGGCAAAAATACGTATTATTACAACTTATTATGCAGGGCAAAATCCGAGGAAAGCGAAATGTGGGAAGACGAAGAATATCCTGGCTTAAGAACTTAAGGGAATGGTTTGAATGCAGTAGTGCAGAACTTTTTAGAGCGGCAGTCAACAGAGTCCGCATAGCCATGATGATTTCCAACCTTCGATAGAAGATGGAACTTAAAGAAGAAGATGGTCTTATCCTTTTATCTATGCTCCAACTTTTACCTAAATATTTTTTTATTGTATCTCTTATACAAATGAATAATGTAATTGGACTTCCTCGCACTAATGCCGCACCCTGTATATATAAATATATTGACATTTTTTTTTCTAGTTGTTGAGTTGAGATTTACTCAATTAACTATTATATTTAAAACTGCTTCCCTTATCCCTTCGAGGGTAGAAATTCGAATATTGTTAACTATATTGTCAACTGTCAAACATTGTATCATTTACACTTAATATATTTTATAACTACTATTAGATTGTTTATACAAAATTGTGCAACACAAAATTAACAAACAGTATACAATTATTTTTATCTTTTAATTACAATTTTTTCTATTGTTTCTAGGAGTGTTTGTTCCCGAGTGTGACAACCAGGGGTATTACTTACCAATGCAATGTCATAGTGCAATAGGAATGTGTTGGTGTGTCGATAAACATGGCGTCGAATTTGCAAATACTCGCACACGCGCAAAACCTAACTGCGGTAAGATATTTTTATTCCAAACAACTCTTAAATTAACTTTTCTAGTATTATAAAACAGAAAATAAGATTAAATTTAATGTTAACAGCCGTTAACATCAATTGAGGACCCCAAAAGCAAAGAGGTATAAGTTGCAAATGTTGTAAATATTGAGGAAACTGTATCCCTGAACTGGAAATCTTTGATTCTTTTTGGAGGTAAAGAGATCTAAGCGATAAGTCTAACAGGTGCTACTTTCTAGCGGCAAGTTACTTACCCTCCAAGGCAACTACGAGCAGGGCTTGAAGAGAAAAGATACAAGTGCACTTGTAACCTTTTTCCACTGTGCCAGACTGTTATTTGAGTTTGTTATCATTTTGGATGGGTAGTGGTATAGCTCCTCGAAAGCAATATTATTTTGGTGTTAAAGTAATAGGTACTTAAATGTAAACTACAGTGTTTTTAAGAAGAGTTCGTTTCGGATTCGGAGGCCAAATAAGTGGAAAAAAAATAGAGCTAAAATATCACGAAATTCAGATAAGCTTACATGGACAAAAAACACAATAATACGTTATAAATAAATGTACGTCGTAATATCGTAAAATCATCTTCAAATAATTCATTCGGGTATTCTGTCCATCTTTTTATTTTATTCTCTAGATCAGGGGTCACCAAATGGCGGACCGCGGTCCGCATCCGGACCGTGAGCTTGTTTTTTTGCGGACGCCGTTAAATTCAAAATATAGTAATAAAATTCTAGTGTAAAATTATAATCATATCTAAATATATCTAAATAAATCTTTACATTTTGAAAAATGTACAGTACTAATACTATATAGAAATACTCATAAATCAATCATAAAAGAATTTCTGTACACTATTGATGCTGCTGCAGCTATTGATCCAATTTCAAGCTGTTAATGGTCATTTGGGCTTCCTCTTGAACACATAAAACGTTGCAACTATCGCATTTTTGGCGGATATCTTCAGACATCTGAACTTATTTTATTTAAAACTATAATGCAAGGGAAAACTTGTTTGTGAACTTTTTGGATATTAGAAGTTTTTCTAAAAAGATTAAAAATTTTTTCTGAAGATACTAAGGCAGAAATTTTGCATTTTCCTTTTCTTAAATCCATTTGTGATAGTAATAAAGATATTGATGTTACAGTAGAACCCCTCATATCCGACCTCGGGATATCCGACTCCTCGGGATATCCGACCATGTGCCCCACCGTATTTTGCCGGTTTGCCGGCGGACAAGTCTCAACGTGAAACATGACTCATCAGCAGAGCTGTGCATTGTTTCTCTGTTAAACGGCCAGTTGCGTTCTGATTGTCGACGTAAACGTTGCTCTACATACTTGACTGTTTCGTTTTCGTGATTGTTGTATGTACAATCTTTGGTTTGTGATTGTGTAAAAAACTGTGTTGTGCGATTAGTGAACGTTAGCTATGGCTACTTAAAAATGTAAGCGTGTGTGCGTTACCCTTAAACAAAAACTTGAAGTGCTCCAACGATTGGACCGTGGTGAGTCACTAGTAAAATTAGCCGCAGAGCTAGGGGTCGGCGTGACAACAGTTAAAGACTGGAGAAAAAACCGTAAAGACATCGAAACCTATTTCTATGACCGTTGAAACGGAAGATGCTCTTAAAAATCGGAAAATGTTAAAAAAAACCTAAGTTTGGGTTTGGTTTTGCCAAGAACGGCGAAAAGGGACTCCTTTGTCGGGGCCTCCTGTAAAAGAAAAAGCCGTAAAGCTGTTTGAAAAATTGGGAGGAGATGTTGAGACTTTCCAGGCAAGCGAAGGTTGGTTTCACCGCTGGAAGCTTCGCCACGGCATTAGACATGTTGTTATTGCAGGTGAAAAGTTGTCTGCTGATGACGATGCTGCAAAAGATTTTGTAGAAAAGTTTCAAAAGTTGGTGTCGGATAGTAATCTTGTAGCCGAACAAGTATATAACGTAGACGAGACCGGACTGAACTATAAAATGTTGCCAAAATCTACTCTTGCTTCTAAAAATGAGCCTGTTTTGGGTACGAAGCTAGCTAAGGATAGACTAACAATTGCTACGTGTAGCAACGCCAGTGGCAGTCACAAACTTTTAGAGAGCTTTTAAAAATCTCAATATGGCAACACTCCCCGTGTATTACCGTAATCAATCATCTGCCTATATGGATTGTGCTCTTTTTAAAGAATGGTTTTTTCTTGAATTCGTGCCCGCTGTTAAAAAACACTTAAAATCAAAAAACCTGCCACTTCGAGCTGTGTTGTTGCTGGGTAATGCACCAAGCCATCCCCCAGAGCATGACTTGAAGAAAGGCAACATAAAAGCGATGTTTTTACCTCCACATGTCACCCCATTAATCCAGCCAATGGACCAAGGCGTAATCGAGTGGGTAAAAAGACGGTACCGGAAAAAATATGTCGGGTCTCTTTTGGACAAAACAGAAGGAGGCTGCTCATTATTGGAGGCCATGAAGATGTTAAACATAAAAGACACCATCTATACCGCAGCTTCTGCATGCGATGAAATCAAAGAGACAACTCTTCAAAAATCGTGGAAGAAAATTTGGCCATCATTAAAACAAAGCGATAGTGCTGATAAGAACGATGATGAGCCCACATCATCAATGGAAGTTGACCTTGAAGCTGAAGAAAACGACGTCACAGAAACTCTTCAAGATCTCCAGGAACTGCAACACGGTGTCCAGCTGCAGCTGACAGATGTGGAGGAATGGCTGACCGAAGCTGACATGGCTGAGTCTACAAATGAAGAACTCAATGATGACGAAATAGTTGCTGCAGTTCAAAGCGCAAATAATGAAGACAGCGACGCTGAAGAAGAAGAAGTTGATCGTGATACTGGAGTGACGCATTCAGAGGCTAAAGATGCATTTGACGTAGTGTTGAAATATTTGGAGCAGGACCCGAGAGCTACACTTATGGACGTGTTGTGGGCAAAGAAATGGCGTGATTTTTCAGCTAAATCAAGATTGGGTAAATTGAAGCAAAAGAGTATTAAGGACTTCTTCTAATTGTTTGCCTTTTTGATTAAACAGTGCAGTACTGTATGTATTTATAATATTTTTCGTTGTTACTGTAATATAAAAATGAGAACTACATATGTGTATTGAGTGGGTATTTTGTACAGTTCTGTACTAATAGTTTAGTGCAATATACGGCTTTTTTACCCGAAAAACGTGTTTTATTATTCCTCGGCATATTCGACCTTTTGACCGTTCCGACCACGGCCCGGTCCCGTGAGGGTCGGATATGAGGGGTTCTACTAGTTCTCACGTTTTATTAATAAACTTGATTTGGAATTTAAAAAACGATTTGCTGATTTTCAAAACATTGAAAATGTTGTGCAACTGTTAAGCAACAGTTTTTTACTCATGCGTAATGGTGTATGGACCAGCGAAGCAGCAGACACATTACGCCTCAAAAATGTATTAAACAAAGACGGGAGAAAAAACAATATAATAGCTTTATAATCATCTTTTTCCCTTGAGTTTATTTCATACCCCTCCCTAAACGAGGTATCCTAGTTGCCTGGTTTCAACTAAGTAAAAAATATGATCTCCTAAGGGGAGGTTAGCTACTGGAGGATTTCTGGGAACCCCCCCCCCCGGATTATGCTACTGCCTGATTTAGTGCTGAGGACCGCGGAAGTGTAGTAGGTTTTCTAAACGGACCCTCAGGGAATATAATTGGCGACCCCTGCTCTAGATCTACAATAAGATTTCCATCTTTGTCTTGAAGTTTACCTATTTGACATTTCTTTATGCTTCCTGTTATCTCTTTTACTTTTTTGTGCATATTGAACGCGTCATACCTTTTATCATATATATTTTTCTTGCCTACAGTTGCTTAATTAGAGAAAATCTAGCATTAAAAAATCATGGCAATTACAGTGAAGACTCAACTTTAAACGGCGTTTACTCAAAATTTACTTTTTGTCACTTACACCCCTTTACTTCTAGAGTCCTCAATTATATCTATTAATTTATTGTAATCAAAAGTTAATTTTCTTGTAGACAACATCATGAACAAATCCAGCTTGGATTACTCCTCAAAGCAGATGAGCAATAGTGTGGACAATTCCAGCGATGACGAAGGCGGAGATGATTCTGGAGATCAAGAGATCGAAGGTAGCGCCGACCATCCCACAGACTATTAGATGTTAAGTTAAAACTACTATTGATAGTAAAACTAAGAAAAAAGGAACAACCAACACCTTATTCCGTTAAAACGCCTGCTACTTAACTTAAATCTTCATTATGACCTAATTTGTACGGCTTAGATACTTAGATATTTTTTATAAACGACGAGAAAAGTTACGAAATCAGTATAATTTCTGCAATAGTAGCTTTTATGTTTTAAATTGCCATATTGTGACTTCGAAATCAACTTTATGGATAGTTGTAAACGTTCGCAACTACATAAGGCTGTTAGTCAAACAGATATTGCGAGAGTTAGGGTTAATAAGATCTATACTATACTCCACCAAATATCATGGATATCTCACTAAGATTCGATCGTGAAAACCTAAGGCTGATATTTATTTTTACACTATTTAACTGTCAGTTTTATTTTTTTACAGGCTTTGGGAAATCGTAAATGATAATTTTTTGGTATAAAATTTAACAGTAAGTCATTTAGAAACATGTAATCGAAATTGTTGACCATTTGACCTAGACTTCTTTTCAAGCTTTCCCTTTTCCGGCACATTACTTCCTCTATGTTTCCCGTACTCTTTGCTGTTTTGGTTAACATTCTATAAGAACTTCGTCAAGTGTTCATTTCCATTTTCATGGATATGAAAACAAATATTATATAAGTATAGGTAAATACATGAAATAACATGACGCAATTATGAAAAAACTGTCGAATCTGATGCCACAACAAGACGGATTCAGGTTCGGAAAATTGAAAATAATGCACTGCACAAGTATGTATATTCAATGAGTACATAGAGAATGACTACGAGTAAAACAGATTACGGGTGTGGTATTTGTTGATTGGTCGGCGGCTTACGACACAGTGTTCTTATCACAGATCTTCAAAATCTCCAGAGTCATTAATGTAACAAAGCTAATTGCGTCTGTATTGCGAATAGGAAGGTTCTTCATCATCTTAACTGGTAAGAAAAGCAAGTGAAGAAACGAAAAAACCTCATGCCCAAGGGAATATACTTGCGCCAATGCTATTCCAAACAGCAAAACTTTCCTATTTGCAGACGATTTGGCCATAGCTGTTTAAGACAATACCTTCTGTAGAGTAACTCCCTAAAACCCAAATTTGCATCTATCACCTTGAAAACAAGGAAGTAAATTGCCAGCTAAAACTATCATGGAGCGGAATGGTCTTGGAACACATATCCAGTCCAAAATATCTCGGAGTGGTACTGAAAAGAACAAATACATATAAATATCATTGCAAAAAACAAGGCAAAAAGTATCGTCCAGGAATAACCTCTTTAGAAAACTTGCAGGGGTTCGATGGGCTCCAAGTTCTACAGTTCTAAAAACAACAGTACAAGCCCTGTGCTACTCGGCTAAGAAATGTGAATGCGCGGTGTGGAGCAGATCTGTACATGCAAGACAGGTAGATGTAGCCTTAAATGTAATATGCCGAATAATAGTATTAGGTGTATGTAACCTACAGCGGCTCCGAGCTTTCAGAGAGAGCCGCAAACTTTGCTCCTCTAAAGGCCCCGCTTTTTCGAAAGGACGCAAAACACATTGAAATATTGAACCAAGTGTTGGACGATAGACATTCATTATATAGAGCGCCACTACTCGAACAGTCTAGACTAAGATCAAAGACAGCGCCTGTGCCTCTGATGGCGGGGTCTTGGCTACTGTCGATTTTTGAATTTAAACCACCATTTTTTTTATTGCGCACTCTATTATTGCAGTATTTGCATTTAAATGTCTATCCAACCTAGCCAAACTCGATCATCCGTCCGCGTCTCTAAAGGCGGGGATGGGCACATCTTTTGATTTTTAAATAGGAACCATCATATTTGGTGGTATCTGCATCTAAATGTCTATCCGACCATGCCAAACACAATCGTTCGCCCGTGTACTAGTGGGCGGGGCGGCTATATCTTTATATTTTTGGATGGGAACCACGGTTTTTTAATGCGGATAAATGTCTATCCTACCGTGCTAAGCACGTTAATTCGCCCGCGACCTACACAGCGGATCTGGGGCCTGGGATCCTAAGGACAATCTCACTAGAGGCACCCGAGGAGTGCCTGCTACGCCAAAATAATCCTCACAGTATACGGCTCGATTGGAAAACATGGAACTCTCTAAATAGAATAAGAACAGGTGTTGCCCCTGTCAAGACAAAGAAAATCAGGTGAGGCAGAATCGACGCACAGGATTCACTATGCGAATGCGGTGAAGTTAGAACATTGAAGACCCACTTAAGTGCACATTATGCTCTGGTTGCACACTCGAAGAATTGCTTCATGTCAACGACAATGCCTTACGTCGCCTTACTGAGCGGAGAAACTTAACACAGTTGGATCAGGATACGAAAAATTAAAGTTAGTTTCGAAACATGCTATTTTTCAAATGTTAAGTCATTCTTTAATATCTATAATTTGTTTACAGTCAAGGAAAAGTACGCCTTATAATTACACCTGAACAGATTCTTAATATGGTGTGAAACTATTTTCTGCGGTAATTTTATTCTATTAAATTGGAGATAAATCACAATTTTCATTATAAATACTTATATGGCGTTTCGACTCACATCTAGATATTTTGAGAAAATTTTTCGATGATATCTAGATGTATATTTGACTTTTGAATAGAAAATTTATAATTATAATTGTGGTCTATTTTCAGTCAATATATTAGTGAACAGATCCTGATATTAAACAACAATCAAAACAACTGCAAAAAAGAATACTAGTTCAAGATATGACTCGTCTATTACTCTATTGATCGCTATTTTATGATCGTTAAAGCAATATATGTACCATTGGAAAGATGATCACTTGTAGTTCATACATTCCTCGGGCTGTTTCTTGGATGTTAATATAATATAATGGGCATTCATTTCAACCAAACGATCACATATATAACAAGTAACTGTGTATATTATATGGATTAATAAAGGTATTTCGATAATTTGGCGATACAAAAAAGAATTGAAACAAATGAGTCCAGACATATTGGTGGTCACAGAAGGTTTGACATGTTACCCAAATACTTACTGCTATTATTTTTCTGTAAAAAATTATTACCATATACTACGTATTTTCTCAAGATCCTGGACAAGACTTTTATCTCCACTATTTTAGACACCAATAAAGAGACCAACAAATCCATCCTATACGAATAATGAACCTTTTAAAAAATACTCATCTAAGCTACTACTGCCAGTAATTGTACAGGCGAGACAGATTCTGTTTTAGTTTTTAATATTTATTGTAGTTAATATAAAAGCGACGTTTCACTTTCTCCTAAAATGAGAAACTCGAAACATTCCACGTACAGGGTCTCACAAAAAGTTTTACACATTTCATCGCTTGAGATAATCAATTGAAATTTGGACATGTATTACTTTCACATATGTATTCAGAATGATACTACGGTTAAAACTTTTTTGGACGTCCTGTATATAGCTGTCGTGTAGCAGAAAACAATTTCCAAAAATATTAAACCTTAATTATATATTTTTTACAAAAATACGGTTGTTTGTTACGGCCTTTCTGTCTTTGTTTGTTATCTTTGGACAACAAACTTGATACACGTGACACAACATTAGACACTTAAAATTAAACTCATTTAATACAGTATGTCGCGCAATAAACTTATATTATTTTATAAGGAGATGCATCTAACATAACCTAACTTAACTCTGGCGCCATCTCTCAGAAAATATTGCACCTATTTGGTTGTGTACTGCTGTTCTTTTATTAAAGAACACCATTGCTATCTGCTTGGTCCATAAAGTCAAGTCTTGGGCAAAGAAGTGACAGCAGTCATTTTGTAGAAAACTGATATTTTACTATTGCATTTATATAACAACTGTAAAGTGCTACTATCACTGCTGTATTTTATTGTTGAATTATTGAAGATGTAAACATTTTCATCGGAGTTTTAATTGTTAAACAACCAAAATAATGCTAGTGACATGAAACCATTAGTAAAAAAGAATAGCTTTTGGCGACACGTGTTCGACACAAGTTTGTATGTATTGATATAACCTAACCTAGCTTAATAATATATTTTTTATTTCTGGAAATTGTTTTTGAATCATGAAGCAAATTTTGTCTGATATAGAAATGATACATTCCATGCCATTCCTATTTTTTTAAGAATTTACCATAAACGCATCTCCATGTAGTATTTTAGTTAAGTTTACTATAGTTTATTATTGTAAATAATCTTAGTTTCTGATAAGATATATACAAAAAGAAGAAAAAGACGACCTTTCATGATACGATCAACTAGGTGAAATGTATTTGGTATTTAGTTCAGTAAATTTTTGAAATATATTCAATTAAACTTTCATATTTTTTAATGAAACATCTCTAGATGGCAGATCTCTATGCTCTTATACAATTCGAGTTTGTACAATAGTTTGGAATAACCAGTTCAATTATGTTTTTATTTGTCCTCACTTTTTTTTAATAATAAAGGTAATATTTTCTGGGCATTCTAGAGAATACTAAATGAGGATAAATACGAAGAACTTGACGAAAAACCTAGAAGTTTGTTGAGGAAAATGTACGAAATATATATTATATAAAGCCAATGATTATGATCACGAAAGCAAGGTTTCTTTTAACACTTTGACTGCCATGAGAAGCATGCCGTGATGCACGGCCAATTTGATTCTGTTGCCGGGAGAATCGGTTTTTGATTCTCGCTCGTATGTTATTTATATGGGATAGAAATATGTCCGGCTGGAAGGACCCTCTTTTTTTTAATTACGGCGGCAGTCTAAGTGTTAAAAATACAATAGGAAAAACGCCAAAACTGTAAAAAGATTACCTGCTGGTTAAATAGAAAGAAGAAGAAGAAGAAAATAGAAATTTATGTCTTGATGTTGGTAGATTCAAGAAAAAAAACCGACAACAACAAACCAGCGGGGAAACTAAACATTTAATATACATTTGATCGAAATCAGTGTACCCATGTAGCTAAGAAATAG